AATGGGATGAAAGTTAATAATGTGAAGTGCAAGGTCATGCACTTACGGTCTAACAATAAGAATTCTTGCTATAAGCTTGGAATTTATCAGTTGGAATCAACAATGGGGGAGAAAGAATTGGATGTATTGGTTGATCACAGGATGACTATGAGCCACCAATGTGATGCAGCCATGAAAAAGGCTAACTTTAGTCTCAGAATGAATCAGGTTTTTTTAGCCTGGCAGCTCAAGCCCCACGAGTCTGAATCAGTTGACCCGGACTCTGAGACTCAGAGTCATGGGTCTTTTTTGCTGTGTAGGCATAACCTTATGTTCGGTCTGGTATCTTGGTGCCTGATCATACTCCCATTAAAGTTAAAGGAAAGACTCCAATTTACTTCATTAGGAGTTGGAGCATGCTAGGTCCCTGGGGAATTGATAGAGTACACCCCAGAGACACCATGTGTTTCCCTACAGATGACATATTACTCATTTTCAGGCTGATATAGGACTGGAATGGTGGAGCTCCAAAGGGGATCTCAGTCAGTTTCCCTTGGACAGAAAGGATCTCACTGCTGCATAATGCATGTGAGTGTGGGTGTAGCCTGGGGTTAATGTAGTGTTCTCTGGAGTTGGGTCCTGGATAACCTAAGAACAATATTTTATTGCCAGGATTTTTCCCCCAGGCTCTGAGACTCTGTCACTGGCCGTTTTTTGCACAAAGCTGAACCATTCAAATATTTACCTAGACCACCATCTAAATGCATGTTACTTGCTCAGCTGACCTGTATGTTCTGTTATGTAAACTCCTAGTCAGACACTCTTATCTAGTTTTAAAAGGTCTTTTTTTTTCACCTGATATGCACTTTACAATGGACTTAATGAACCCTGGAGACTGAACTACTTTCCATCCTCAGTGGTGGTCCCCCCATGTCAGGGATGAGTACATGTGTGTGGCACTGTAGCAAAAGCTGCACGTCTGGTGCTCTGTGGATAAATAGATGTCTTCAGTCTCGAGCATCTCTCTCTCTCTTCCTGGTGTTTGGGCCATTCACTTATCCAGGCAGAGTATCTCTGGGCAGCATCTACTGATTCCTTGGACTCCTGCTTGGAGCAGTGGGTATTATCCAGGTTCTCTGCTCAGTGTCCACCTCTGAATTCCTCATTTTGACCCTACAGTTTGTACATCGTCTCTGTTTTCTCCGTTTTTGTCTCCCACAATCTGTTGATTTCTGGGTTCTGCGTCTTTTCCCTCACTTGGCTGTTGTTTTTGTGAACTCCATTCACTAGTTCCTAGTTATCAAATAGGCTAGTACCTATCTCCTTCACTAAGTTCACATAAAATATTCCAGTGCAGGGGAAAATAGGTGTTTAGAATGGAAACACCAGCATGAGAATAAAAATAGTAGTGACCATTATTCACAGATCTAAGTAATAATAATAATAATCACAATTAATAATATGCCATAATAAAAACCACCAGAAAGGCTGTCAGGCAAAGTAACTCTGTTGCTAGTCTTATTTCAGTTCACTAGATCAGAACTTTTTTCCTGAAATCATCCAATCATCCAAAACAGTTTGTAAAATAACTTTCCCATATCAAAAGCTACCCTCTTGCTTGCTTATGTTGAGGGTCACTGCAAATAATCACTATTGACCAAAAGTTATTAAATTGTAACAAAGCATAGTTAGCTGTCTAGGCACATTTCATCAGAAGTATCTTTACTTTTATTGTCCGTAACACCTCTATTTTATGAAATCCTATTCTTTCTGAGAATCCCAACTGCTATCTGCACTAAAGTAAATTATTCTGAAATAGTTGCCTGCCAGTTCAAAGTCTTACACCATGTTTACACTTCAGAGATTATCGCATGAATGTTAATAGAAGGTGTCAGACCAGGATGAATAATGTTGTAAGCTGTGCATTATTTCATCCTATCTAAGTAAAACAATTGTCCCATAAATACCATTTTTCAGAATGATTAAAACTGCATCAGAAATTGTACAAATAGCAAATTTAAGACTCAATTGAATTTAACTAGTGAATAATATCTCCTTATCAGCAAACTCTAGCTAAATTACTACATTGAAAATGAAAATATTTTTATAAAAGGTAAATGGATAGTAAATATAAGTTAACGTTAATAATAGACATGATTAAGGTTCTCTGCTTGGCTCTATTTCATTTTGGGTACGTGTAGCGTGCTTATTATTTACATCTATTTCTGCTGTTGATTATTTGCTCACCCTGGTCTAATGTCCTTAGGTTTTTTCACAGCATACATTTCCTTTTGAATATCAGCAAGCATTTTAGTTTAGTCTGTTTTCCAGGACACTTCTCATTCTCAACATGCCAAGGCCCTAGTTAAGAAATACGTACTTTTCTTACATAGATATCGCCATTTATTTACGGGCTATTATGTAAAAATATTTTTAACTATTCAAGGCACCTGTAAGCAGGGCCAGCACTAAGCTATTTCAGGGCCCCATGAAGCGTTTTAGGTTTCAGGCCTGTTCCCAGCTCCCTCCTCATATGCTTTTCTTACATCAGCACAACTGGGCTGCCTCCTATCTGCAAATCCTCCATCTCCTAGTCTAGGGTGAATTCCCCCTTAGCCACTTTGTAATTGCAAAAGACCCAAACCACAAATCGGAGTTTGCAATTCAGAACTTTCTCTGTATAGGCCACATCTGAACACCAAATCCAAACACCCCCAAATCTGAGAAATTTTGGATTTGGATTTAATGCCCCCAAGTGAAGGAGTCTGCAGATGAGAGGTGGAGGGTGGCTTCACTTAAACAGCTGACAAAGAGCAAGTGTAAAGTTAAGCTATTGCCTCCCACACGACCCCCTTCTATGCAACCTTAACACTGCCCTCTTTGAGCAATGCCCAAACCTGACCCTGGTGACATGGTAGAAACAATAGTACCCCTCCATATACTGAGCACAGAGCAGGACAGGGTTCATGAGCACTGCAATGGAAACTGTCACAACCTTCTCTTCAATAAGGCAAAAGTCACATTTAGGACAGGCTTAGCGACCACGCTGTAACTACACCTGAGCTACACTCGGCCACTTCACTTACTCCACACAAATTCCCCCAGACTGTGTTACTTCACTCTTGCCCTAAGGTTTCTCTCTGGGATGTTACCTTCACTTAGGGTGGCCAAGTTTCCGGTTTTCGACTGGAAAGTCCAGTAAAAAAGGGGACCTGATGGTGTCCAGTCAGTTCTACTGAGCAGACACCCAAAGTCCAGTTACTGCAGGGGGGAAGAGGGGAGGCGCCGAGTCATCACCTGGGCCAGCCCCTACTCAGCCAGGGCCACCTCCTACCTGCATGGGGCAGCAGAGTCCCTCATGACCCACACAGGGAGGGAGGAGAGGGGAGAAGCAGTGAGCAAGGGAGGAAGGGGGAAAGAGGAGCGAATGGGGGTGGGGTATTAGCTGGAATATAATTACACAAATATCTAGTGCCTAGTACACTAGCAACAAATTTGCCAAGTTCACATACTGGACAGTGAACTTGCATCTGCTTTAATACATGGCCTGACTTTGCTTCAGATCTCAGATTTTGCCCCAGGCCCAGCGCTCCAAGCCCTCTCTACTACAGGAGGCTTTCCCCTAATGGAATTACTGGCGTGTCAGAGGTTTATATTTAGCCACACTCCATGTTGTGAAAGGGCATGAGGCAGCAACAGGCAACCTTAGTTCTGTGTTAATGAAGATTTTTGGCCATCAATACCAGTTTAACTCCACTGATTTCAATGCAGTTTCACCTGATTTACACAGGTTTCATTGAGATAACAATCTAGCCCAAAGAGTGAAAAAGATAAAGGAAGACAGAAATTGGTACTAATATGGCATATAGACTCTAAGAACTTGATCCTGGCATTTTGGCCCAGATTCAGCAAAACACTTTAGCACCTGCTTAACTGTAAGCATATGAGCAGTCCCATTAATTTCAAGTCCCATACCTAAGCCAGAGAAACTAAACAATTCAGAAGAAGGTATCCAAAATTGAACTGGAAAGGAGCTATAGGTCTTTATGCATGTGAGTATAACAATATTTATTATATCACAGGCTGTGGGGTGGGGTGTGTATGTGGCAGTACTTGATTAAGGACCAGACTAGAGAGCAATACATGCAGCATATGCCAGAGGGCACTTTTTAGTTAACCTTGCTCTACTAAATCCAATGTAAGGATCACTGAGCACAGTTTCATGTACTCTGTATTTTGAAGCGCTTCTATGAAAACAAGTGATTGATTATTATGATTGTTAAAATTCCATATGGTGTTTAACTGCTATGGTCTTGGGCATAATATTAAAATGTAGATACAGAGAACAAGGTAAGTCTTACCTTTCTGTCAATGCTGTGGCCTGTGTTATGCAGAAAGTCAGACTAGATGATCACAATGGTCCCTTCTCACCTTAAAATCTACCACGCTATAAGTGCTAGATTTTTAAGACACCGGTGCATAGCTCTATATGCAAAAGAACATTGTTTTAAACTGTCTACAGCTAAACCAGCCTAGTTGTATAACTACCAGCTTATACAAGAATAGAGCTGGGATCCTAGAGCATGAGTAGATTGGCTTTGAAAGCATCTTGAAAGAGAAGCACTGAGGCCTGAAAAGAAGGATATTTCTACCACTCGAACACCCAGTGCGTAGAGAGATGTCGGTAGTAATTTCAGTGGAATGTTGCCTTGACAGCAGTTGCTTAGCAAGCGGGGATAATAAAATAAGTGAAGTAATGGTCAGCCATATGGAATATAAACAATTCTTTGTATTCATTGGGATGTCCACAGCATATATGATGTTTCTTGGGGCTAATTGTACCAGTCATTAGAACAACTGATTTTAAGAGAAAAAAAACGATGGAAAAGGAAGGGAAAATGTGTTGTGATCTAACTAGTATTTATTTCCTAATGCTAACTAGCAGTTTACTAGTCTGTTTTTTTAATACTAAGTGGTATTGTTTTAATATTTTGTCGGGTTTTCTATTTTTTCCCCTGCAGGATGATGCCAATGGTCATTCAGTTTTCCATTCTGATTATGCTGCACTCCACTCTTGTTCTAATCACCACTGCAGAGGATTATAAATGTTTACCCCTAGTGCTACGGAAAACTTGCTGCTGGATTAATGAGACCTATTTGGCCAGGAATGTGATCATTTTTGCATCCATTATGATTAACTTTCTGGGAGCCATCATAAATATTGTAAGCATCAGAGGGACTAAGGGAGGGTGGTACATGTATACCGGAAAAGCTTTTTTATGAATTATTAAATCATATCATTCTTCCTGTTATTCTTCTTGCTAACTAATGTGGTAATGAGCCACCCATTATTTAAATATAAAAGACAAAGCTGAAGCGCTTCAGGAAATTCAATCAGTTGTTTAAAATATGGTTTTCTAAAATGCATAATTATTTCTCCCTTATGAGGATTATCTATTTTAAAATCCCGTCTGCTGCTTTCTGCTCAACATGTCCCGTGCTTTGCAAACCATTTATGGTCTACTGCTGTGATGATGTGGTTTCTTAAGAACTAATATTCCAAATAATGATCACAAATAAAAGGTAACAGGATTCTCATCTGTTGCAACTCTGTTGCAAATTAGATTTCTAAGCAATGTTATTGACTGATAACGTAAGAAAACACCATTGCATTACCAGTGGAAGAATGGATCAAATGTGGGATAGTCCAGTGGTTCGAGTAAGAGACAAGAAGTCAGGAGACCTAGTTTCAGTTCCTAACTTGGCTATTTATTCAATGTGTGACCTTTGGTGAGTCACTTAGCTTATCTCTCTGTCAGTGTACCCATCTGTAAAGTAAGCAATCAATGTTTGTAAAGCATTTGTGCTTAGATACTAAGTGTTAGTGCTTTGATTGTGTGGTGACGAGCCCTGTAGAAAAGGGCCCTGTGTAACTGAAAAATACAAGTGTGCGCAGACTATCTGAAGGTCGTCAGAGGCACCAGCAACCTTCAGATAAATGGGTCAGATAATCAGGTCAGCCAGTCCAACCAGCATTGAAGTCTGCGCTCAGGGTGAGCGAGGGTGACCAGATGTCCCGTTTTTAAAGGGACAATCCCATTTTTGGGGACTTTTTCTTATATAGGTGCCTATTACTCCCCAGCCCCGTCCCGTTTTTTCGCAGTTGCTATCTGATCACCCTAGGGTGAGCTGAAATCTCACTATGTGAATTATAATATGTTCATCATTCTCTCCACTTATAAAGGTTTCAGAGTAGCAGCCGTGTTAGTCTGTATCCACAAAAAGAAGAACAGGAGTACTTGTGGCACCTTAGAGACTAACAAATTTATTAGAGCATAAGCTTTCGTGGACTACAGCCCACTTCTTCGGAAGTGGGCTGTAGTC